AAAAAAAAAAAAAAAAAAAAAAGAAATAAACCCTAATTAGCTAGCTAGCTAGCTAATAAATAAATAAATTAATTAATTAATTAATTATAATGTTATTCGTGTACAGAGAATGTTGTACCCGCTTATATAAGCCCGGTAAGTCATACTTTTATTTTTTAGGGTTTGGTAAAAAACCCTAAACCCTAAACCCTAAACCCTAAACCCTTGTTATTACATAGATGTTTATTTCTTATTTACGAGCAAGATTAAGTTTAACTTATTTAACCACGGGGTCTGTTGGGGAAACCCTAATGACGGGTATAGATTTAATAGGGGGACAGTTACCCCAGGCACCAACAGGTAAACTCTAAACCCTAAACCCTAAACCCTAATTTACATATATATATAATTATAATTATATACAGGAATAAGCTGGGTAGCTTATCTTATTATTGGATTAGTTATTTGCTACATTATCTCTGTAGCTGTTGTTTATCAAGTATTATCTTATACATTAGCAAAACGTTTCGACGCAGGAGACTAAACCCTAAACCCTAAACCCTAAACCCTAAACCCTTTTTTTTAATTTTTCTAATGAGGGGAGGGTTTATATCCATCTACAAAGAAATTACGCGTCATTGGAGGCAAACGAATCTTCTCTCCATTAAAAGAAGAATTTACACGAATCTGGCAACCTAAGCGGGACCTGAATATACAAAAAAAACCCTAAACCCTAAACCCTAAACCCTAATAAAAATTTATAGTAGTATAAATTACTAAAAAGCAGATATAATTGGTTAGCTATAATATATATGGGCAGGTTAGTATCTTAGGGTTTAGGAAGCACTTTCTAGGGTTTAGGGTTTATATATATTAATATATCATGCTAAGGTTTAGGGTTTATGATGGTGAATTAGGGTTTAGGGTTTACGTGTCTGTAAGACAAGCAGCAAGATCTAACATATCTTCTTCTTCTTCTGTTGGTGTTTTTAATGCCGCAAATAATTCATCACTAAGAATTACATGACAAGTTGAACAAGAGCATTGACCCTCGCATGCACCTGCGTATACACCCGAAAACCCTAAACCCTAATTAAACCTAATAAAACCTAACAAAAATAATAATAAACACTAATAAACCCTAAATAAACCCTAATTAGGAGGAAAAGAACAAACCCTTTGTTCATCTCTCTCTACCTCTCAGCTAATAGCAAATAATCAACATCTTAACAAATGTATATCTAGGGTTTAGGGTTTAGGGTTTAGGGTTTACCTTCTATAGGTACATTATTTGAATGTGCAGCCTCTAAGACTGTACAACCCTCAGGAACTTTTACGGGGGTTTCTTTCCCGTCTTCCTCAACAAATACAAAAGAACTGCAGACAAATAAACCCTCAATAAATAATTAGGGTTTAGGGTTTAGGGTTTTGTTAATACCAAGCTGGGTCTAAATGTTGACAAAACAATCAAAAAAAAAACAGAAAAATTCATAATACAACTTCTAGGGTTTAGGGTTTAGGGTTTAGGGTTTACATTAAGTTATCATTTGATGATGGAGGTTTAGAGGAATGAAAAAAACGGCAAGTGGTCAAGTTAGAGGTGCGCAGACACCTGAATCCTCTGCTGCAGCTGTTGTTGCTGCTGTTGCTGCTGCTGCTGCTGCTTATCCAGCTGCTGCTGCTGCTGCTTATCCAGCTGCTGCAGCTGCTGCTGCTAATTCTCCTAGTATTAAAGAAAGAGCACCGCAGAACAGCGGGAGGAAGACGGGGGCGAATCATCCTCAGTACCCATACTAATATATATATTTATATCTAAACCCTAAACCCTAAACCCTAGCGAAGTGGTCTACCAGCGGCCTGTGTATGTATGCTATGCTGCATGCTAGTCTCAAGCCCTCCTCATCTATCGACTCTAAACCCTAAACCCTAAACCCTAATTAATTCTGTATAATAAAAAGAAAAAAGAGAAAAAAAGACTCAATGAGAAAATAAAAACAATTAAAGAATAAACACTCATAAGAATATGCATGCTGCACGGGTACCCACAGGGCCCCCCACCCCCGTAAACTCTAAACCCTAAACCCTAAAACCCTAAACACTAAAACCCTAGACCCTAAACCCTAATTTTTCTAAGAGTCTCAATTAAAATGGTAATGAATTTATGTAGGGTTTTTGACGTTTTTTTATCTTAAATATCTAAACCCTAGCAAAAAATGTTTAGGGTTTAGGGTTTAGGGTTTACAGCATGGCTGAATACATTTATAATGTAAAAACCCTTGCAGAGTTTATTCGTCTACATTTATTTTATTTATTTATTTTATTTGTTTTATTCATTTTATTTATTTATTTACTTATTTATTTACTTATTTATTTTATTTTATTACTATGTGTCGTGTTCAGTCCGATTTACCTAAGAAAAAGGCATACATGTTATAAACATTTAATAACATCTAATAAAATTTATTATTGTTTGTTTGTTGGTGCATTTGCAGCTGCCTATACACCTGAAATAAGCAGAAGACGTTCCGGTAAACCCCAAACCCTAAGCCCTAAACCCTAGAAAATGAATTATGATTGTTTACGCACCAAGTCACCCCTTACACTTTATAGCAACAACATACCCGGCAGTTGACGTAAAGTACAAGAATTATTATTTAATTTTTCTATTTCGTGCATAAACAAACTGCTGTGCACCTTGTACGTGCGCAGGGCAGGTGCCAGGTAGAAGGTAACATGACATGAGCATGGCACAATTGTCAGGGCGGTGGTGAACTTTGTTGCCGTTGGTGCTATTAAGAAAATTCAATAAACAATTACACTCACATTTACATTTAAATGGCTATAGTAATCCGTTAGGTACAGAAACTGCATTAAAAATACCATTATATCCTCACATAGTCAACCCAACTGCTGGTCTGTAGGTCTGCTGAACCTGTTTCTAACCTCCATAAGTGTGCGCCATCCCCTGTGTAGTTCTGGGCAAACCGTGCAGGAGTTCCGGTACGTATGCACAAATAAAAGGAAATACTAGCGAGATAGAATAGGCACACAGGATCCCTCAGGTTAATTCTCTTGGCTGCATGCTGTGTCGCGTCGGAGTTAGACTGCCGAGCCACACTGTCCTCAGAACTACAATGGAGAACCACCCAAGCACTTTTAAGTTCTTGTGGCTCAGGGCAAAAACAAATAGAGCTAAGGGCCCCGTTACAGATCAGTACCGTATGCGGAATATTCCTACCCTGGGCCCTGGATTGGCCCAGACTTAGGGCTGTCAGTGAAGCAGATGGCGCCAGGGCCATCAGCTAACCAGCAACCAGCAGAGAGACACCTTTGTAGACAGAGATCAGATGCTCAAGGAAGGGGTTTTATGCTTTTAGTGTGTACGTTTCTGAGGCGCATTGGGTGGAGGCAGCGATTTATCTGTGTTAGCTAGTTACGGGGCACACGCTGGAGCTCTTCTGGGCATACTTCAATACAATTTAGGCTCCGTTTAACAGGCGACGGGAGGATGCAGAGAAGCGGTGCTTACTGAGGGATGCGCAATTGTATGCGAGAGAGTGGCCTAGTCAGTACAACTTGCTTTTAAGGAAGGGTCTGTAGATAGGGTGTCATCTCCTGTCCACACAATTCATCTCTGGCTTCTTTGACCCCCCTGCACCTCCCGTTTTCAAGCCGCTCATTGCGCAGAGATGAGCAACAGCAGATTGCTTCGAAGGATGGAAAGAATTGGAGTTGCTTCTTGCTTCCAAGGACCTTCAATTTACAGATTAGATGGGGAGTGTATGAAATAGCCCGTCCCTCCGGATGCGCTTTCGCACTAGACCTCGCTTTTCACCAACCGAAAGATGACCCTATTCTCCAGTAGTACATGTTCAATGCCCATTCTTCTAAAGAGTGGAAGGCTGAGATTGGACAGATTTGGGGAGTTTTGCCAAAAGTTGCTGATATTTCCAGATGATTTCGAATCACATTCTACCCTCAGAGTTGTTCACTCCTCCTTCAGGTCCCCCTTTGTGTGGGTATAAGTTTCGTTCCTCGCAGGTGCCACTGTGTGCTGCTAGGTGTGCGAGACGGGTCCATGAACGTACGTGACCATTACAACCTGCAAAAGGGTCAAATTTTTATGCGGACAGTTCAGTAAAAAGCACTTGAAGTCCCCTCTCAGCCTCTAGGCGTCCTCACCACTGCGCTTCAAGCGCCTGGAGCAGCGGGAAAGGAAGTGTCTTTGAGCGAGTTGCAACCCGTGTTGCCGCACTCCACGGGAAGGCAGTCCCACAGTTGCACACAACCACTGTTTTTGAAATATTTAGCCCAGAAATGCCACATACGTGTGTTTGCAAGCATGCTATTTGCGTTCAGGCTGCCTAGTGAAGCCGGGTGTGGGTTCTCGCGACAACTGCGGACGGTGGCAAGTATTTCTAAATGCAGGGCCGAACCCACCAAGGTTTCTCACTGACAGAGTCAGCGAATATCGACTAACTTATAAAACTACATCGTTGAGCACATTTTCAATGGTCCAACTACTCTAGCATGCTGCGTTCGTACTAAAGTGTTACTGCAGTATAGAGTTCTGAAGGCTGACTGCCGTACAACGCGACTGTTAAAAATTACTGCAGTTTCATTTTCTCGTTAGTCAAAAGTTTTCCAAAATCCACAAAATACTGGTTTAAGCAGTTTTCCCTGTTAAGGGAAGTAGACTGAACTTGCTCTAAAACAGGTCGCGGTGGCGGTCCGTCAGAAAGCCCTGCCGGGGGGACCACCAGGGTCACTGACGCATGCTTGGAGTTCAGCATATATGCTCTTTATTCTAAGCGACAGGCTAGCATCACATTGAACGTGAACATTTTGTAATTCTTTGAGCACAGGAGACACACAAGATATCTGAGATAGCATGGCTCGCAGCAGTTGTAGTGTTTTCGCCAATATGCAATGCAGCGTCCCCGCCTCACTCCTGCAGGCGGTTAAACTTGTAATTCTTGTTCCATTGGTACTTTTAGCTGTGGTAGCGACAGCGTCAAATGAGAATCCTTCGAGTTCGACGGAAACTGCCGTTGAATTAGATCAAGCAGGAGCTCCCCTTCAGCAATTGGAGGGACCGGAGGCATATGAAGAAGCTCGCCACCCCGTTATTCGCAAGGGTCACATGATGATTTTAGCACTCGCAGTAATACAAATTGCAGTCCTGCTCAGTATGGTTGCATCCAAAAAAGCTGCGGTTTTAAAAGTAAGGCTGTCTGCGCTGCCGATCCCGTGGTTTCACGCTGCGGTGATGATTGCTCATCGCACCAGCCAGTTCCACTTTATTAACCTACTGCATGCAGGGATCAGCATGAATTTGTACAGTCAATAATCTCTACTGCAGACTCCTTCAGGGGGAGGGGAGAAGCTCTCGTTACGTTGCACAAGCACCTTCTAACTTTACACATGAACGAGGATTACTCTACATCTTTAAGAAGGATGCAACTTTTCAGTTGATGCTCTGGTCAAGGGATCCCACTACGTGCTGTGAAAATCAGTGCGTGCTGAACATTGTCTCGACTTACCTGCCGTTCAAGCAAGTTTGGCTTGAAAGGAACAAAAGCATGCTGAGTGTAGGACTTCACTTTGGCAGCCGAATGCAAGCACAATAATATTTCTACTGTGGGTGCAGCTAGTGCGTCGTTTGCTCTACTGTAATCAGCAGGTGCCTCTCCTGGCCTGCCGCGCACATCATAGGGGCAAGCTAGCTGACAAGGTATTTGGTGTCGTTGGCACACGTGGGACGTGGGATTGAGTTGATTTCGTCGAATTCCAAAACGGTCCTCATGTAATAGGCATGGGTAGAGAGCCACTGCTTCAAGACTTGGATGAATTCGGGAAAAACAAATGTAAGCTGCTGCGAGCGCAGGAGGTGGGTATTCTGTTTAGGCCCTTACAGGTTGAATTGTCGTTGATGGCCGAGTACATTTTGAAGCACACGAGCCCACAAGTAAATAAAGTGGTTGAAGCAGTGGTAACCGTCGCGCTACGCGTTTTTGTGAGATTCCACCTGGCATTGGAGGCAAATGACTCTTTGTCCAGGCCAGAAAGGGACGATGTGGGACTCCATGTGGAGGTTGCAGAGTTTTGCTAGAGGCATGTCCATTTGTGTCCTTGCGTGACTGCGTTGAAAATGCACTTTATTGCAGCGTTGGAGGAGTATTCGAAT